TTATTCAGACAGAGTGGGAGGGAGAGAGAGGAAGAGAGAGAGAGAGAGAGAGAGAGAGAGAGAAACATCGACGTGAAAGGGACATACTGAGTGGCTGCCACCCACACGACCCAATGAGGGCTGGGGACAAACTGCAACCAAGGTACATGCCCTTAGCGGGAACTGAACCCAGGTCTCTCTGGACCACAGGCCGACGCTCTACCACTGAGCCAAACTGGCCAGGGCTATATTCTCAACTTCTTTACCTCATTCTGGTCTTATCATATCTCATCTGATACCTGAGTAAATCAGAATATCGTTTGTACATTCCTTCTCCCCTGTAAATGAAATGACTAAAGAAAAATGTGAAAGGGAAGGGAATAGAGTCACTAATATTGTGACAGTTTACACGATGACCTATGTTACTAGAATTAGTGGGGTGATCACACTGTAAGGTATAAAAATGGTGAATCACTATATTGTACAGCTGAAACTAATGTGACCAATGTAAGATTGTATACCAACTATACTTAAATAGATAAATAAATGAATAAATGGAAAAAGGCATGTCCTGGGGGTCAGTCCGAGTCTCAGAGTGTCATCATCTGCACAAATGAGAAGCACTTCTATACAGTCTGACTGGGCTGTCTCCTCAGAGATATTTTGTTCTAACTGGATCAAGCCCTTTCATTAGTGACTTCTCAGTCACTGAATTCTGTAGTTCAATCCCTCAAAATCCTCCCCCCTTTTCTTTCTAGTTCTTACAGCTGGTACCCTAAAACTGGCTCTTGGTACCTCATGCTAAGATTCATGCACAGCTTCCTAACTAGCCTACCCCTCATGAAATCAATGCCAGACTACCTTGCCTGGAAAACTACTTTTGACCTGTCTCACTTTAGCTAAAATGCTGCTCCAATTCCTGTTACCAATCATATGTTTGTTTTGAGGACATCCATAATCTGCTTTCATCCCCAGTTTCTTCCTTCACCCAAACACACCCTGGGTTACATTCTCCAGGCTGCCGGCAAGCCCAGCCCTCTTGCTGGGAAGTCAGGCTGGGTAGTTCCCCCTGCTATTCCCCTAATCCAAAACCTAGTCATCCTTGGGGGGAGGGGTTGGTAAAGGCGAGGTAGAAGATTGTGAAAGAGGTTGAAGAAAATAACTAAAATTCTTTGTTTTCATGTTCAGAAGGATAATTTTATTTGAACCTATTCATTTATTTTCTTTTTTTTTTTTTTTTTTTTATCCTCACCCAAGGACATTTTTCCATTTTTTGCACAGATAGAGTGGGAGGGAGAGAGAGGAAGAGAGAGAGAGAGAGAAACATCGATGTGAAAGGGACACATCGAGTGGCTGCCACCCACACAACCAACCAGGGCCGGGGACAAACTGCAACCGAGGTACATGCCCTTAGCGGGAACCGAACCCGGGTCTCTCCGGACCGCAGGCCGATGCTCTAACCGCTGAGCCAAACCAGCCAGGGCCCTATTCATTTATTTTCAATCAAAATCATGAAGATAAACAAAATATGAGGCAAAGGGAAGCTAGTCTTGAAGAATTTGTGTCTTCAGGTTTTTCTGGTATAAAAATCCTTTTTTAAAAGAAAAACTTTTTCTTTATTGATTTTAGAGAGAGAGGAAGGGAGAGGGGGAGAGAGAGAAACATCGATGAGAGAGAACAAGGATTGGCTGCCTCCTGCATGCCCTCCCACTGAGGACTTGGCCCACAACCTGGGCATGTGCCCTGACTGGGAATTGAACAGGCAACTTCTTGGTGTGTAGGCGGACGCTCAACCACTGAGCAACACCATCCAGGCCTGGTAGAACAATCCTTTCAAGCCTGGAGCTACTCAAAGATGAATGATGAATGATGAAAGAAGAAAAACGTTATTTCCAACAGGTGGTGTGCTATGTGTGCTACAGCAGAAGGTGGCTGTAACAAATAGTTTCATTTCTAACCTGCATTGATATATAAATTAGACCTTATTTGGAAATGATTAATTTCTGGTAGACTCAATCCAACATTATGCCAACTTTTACATTTGTTGTAGATGCTATTTTAAGTACTAGAAATTAAATTTTCATCACCAAAACATGAGAATAACAGCTATTACTAAGGCAATGAGCTGTAAAATTCATCCCCCAGCGCTGCTATGAAAATATACCTGTTAAGAGAAAATCTTACTTTATCCAAATTTTTTAGTCATCATGTACTTGTTGGCTTGTCATTCTTATTTGACCCCAACCAATTAAACCCCAGTGTTTCTCAATTCTTCAGCTAAGGGCACTGTTTTCTCCCACTTCTGTGCACACAGGATTAGTCAAAATGATTTTGCCCAGATCGGCCTTGACTGCACTAACTCTTCCTCCATTAGACAGGGACCCTATGTTTACCATGAGCACTTCATTCTTAAACAACTTCTGCACCTTTGCTGCTTTTATGTCTCCCTTGGTGCAGACACCTAGAAGCTGTCTAAGCAGGAAATAGGAGATTTCCAATTCTGTGAAGATCTCAGGTAAAGCTCCAACTGCACCAAGTACCTGCCCCATCATCTGTCAACCCTGCACAAAGTGGGGTCGGTTTTTGCCACATCTCCCGTAAGACCTCCTGGAGCAGCACACCGAAGATCACTAAGCTGTGCGAACAGTGACACAATTTTGGAAAAAGTTGGTTTACACATGTTTTCCTTCACTATCTATGGAAACAATACCAGATCTGATTTCTGTCTCCTGGCCCACCTTTAATACTCCTTTTAGACTACTACCTCCAGCTGACATCCCCTTTAAGGTTATTGGCGTCACAGCCAGGTTTGTTGACATCACGGGAGCTAATAATAGTAAGTACTTCAATACTGTATTTCAGCTGAGCAGAAATGGGAATAATAGGAACTTCTGCTACTGTGCCTTTTACAAATGCAAGGATCTGTTCATACTGTTCTTTACCCAGGCTTTCTTTTACCAAATCAATTTTATTTATTTATTTATTTTTATCCTCACTCGACATTTTTCCATTTTTTGTTCAGATACAGTGGGAGGGAGGGAGAGAGAGAAACATCGATGAGAAAGGAACACATCGACTGGCTGCCTCCCGCACAACCCGACCAGAGCCAGGAGGAACTGCAACGAGGTAGTGCCCTTGGCTGGAATCAAACCCGTGATTCCGTCCACAGGCGGACGCTCTGACCACAAAGCCAAACCGGCCAGGGCATCAATTTTATTTTTAGAAGCAAAATATGCTTGTTCCATGATTTCTATAGCAGCCAAGTGTTCAGAAGTCTGAGGCTGAGGACAAGACTCATTACCAGCTAGCAACAGAAGAGCTGCATGCACCGCTGCTGCACTGTTCAGCGCGGTAGCCATAAAATACGGTGGCCAGGACAATTCACAAAGGAGACACGTCTGGCTAACCTGAAGTTCCCTTTGGTCCCTGGAATGTCTGTAGGAAACTCCTCAGGTGTACTGCTTCCACAGGATCTGTAACATTCTGGTGGAGGACAACTTGAGGCATCAAGTTTATAAATCTTAGTATTAGTATCCAGTCTTGATAGTAATCTCTCTTCTAGTTCAGTTTCGAACCTGACAACGTGAACGCCAGAAACAGCTTTTACAACTGCGGATTTTTCACGAGCTACATGACCAATTGTACCTACATTAATTGTGGCTCATCTGCTGATGACTTTGTGTGACAGTGGCGTCAATTTGGTAACATCCGAGGTGGCAAGATTCTGGTCAGAAAGATTTGGCAGCCCGTCACTCCAGCCGCTGCCCCGCCTCCCCCATCTTGCCCTCATAGCCGAAATTCCTTATTAGCACCTACTATCTGCTTCCTTTTATATTATTCTATTCGTTAAGGGCCTAACTCAGGCCAAAAACAGTGTAACGTTTTCCTAACTTCTATATAGGGAGGATTCTCACAACTCAGGATATTTTTCTTAATTGTTGAGAAAACATTAGATACAGCTAATTAGACTGTTAGGCACTGTAGAAAAGAATCCTCTGCTGTATTTTTTTTACCCTCACCCGAAGACACTTTTGCATTTATCTACCCATAGAGCGATAGAGCGGGAGGGAGAGAGGGAGGGAGAGAGAGAGAAACATCCATTGATTGCAACCCACACGACCCCAACCGGGGTGGGGACAAACCGCAATGGAGGTAGTGCCCTTAGCAGGAACCGAACCTGGGACTCTGGTGGGGGGGGAGGGACGATGCTCCAACCGCTGAGCCAAACCAGCCAGGGCTGTATTTCTTTTATATTCTCCCGGCAGTTAATTCAAATACTCAAGACTTGACTGGGTAGGTCTTAGTACTTAAGAAAGTATGAACTTTGAGTTCGAATCTTGTCTCTCACTTATTAAGTGTGGGACCGGGGCACCTGCGTAACTTCAGTGAACTCCAACTGCGGCCTGCAGTCACGGCACCTATCCTGGGGAGAAATAAAGACACGTGTCTGCGAACCCTGCAGCGCAGTCCCTGGCCCACCTTTGCTGCTCAGTAATCGCCCTTGGCCCGGCTCAGGCCTGGAGGAGGCCCCAAGGTCAGTTCTCTCCGACCCGAAGGCCACCCGGGGCGGGGTGGGGAGGGGCCCTGGCGCCCAGGACCCGCTTTCCTCACGGACGCGCTGGGGCAGCGCCAAGGCCGTTCAGGGAAACCGGAGTCTTTCCTCCGGGAAGGTCGCCTGACCCGACGCTGCCCCAGCGCCGCCGGCAGAGGAGGGGCGGGGAGGCACGCGGACACCCCGCGGCCCGTCTCCTCCTCCGCGAGCCGCTGGGCGGTGCCGACGTGGGCGGAGCTACGGGCCGTACCATCTGACACCGGGGGGGGTGGCGGCCTTCCCTCGGGCGACACACCGGAGAGCACGGCCGGTGGGCACCGCGGGTCCCGCGGGCCACGGCGAAGGTATCTCGACCCCCCTTCCCGCGTTGCCCGGGCCCGGGCGCGGGCGGGGCAGATCCGGGGCCTGCACCCCCCGGGGTGGGAGCGGCGAGCAGGGGGCGGGGCCTGCGGCCGGCGGCGGTGTCCTTGCGGCGCAGGCCGGGTCGCCGGTTCACTGCAAGCGGTCAGCGCTTCGCGGTGCAGCTGCCGGAGCTCGGAGAGACCTGCGGCGGCGTCACCATGTTGTGCAGGGCGGCGTGCAGGTGAGGCGCCCGGGCCGCGCGGCGCAGCGGGGTCGCGGTCCCGGTCCCGGTCCCGAGAAGCACGGGCAGGCGGCGGGGTGGCGCGGGGCGCGGGGGTCGCCTCCACGGCCCCCGCTCTCCCGGCTCAGCCGCTGCCGGGCTGGGTCCCGGTGGGGTCGGGGGCCCCTTCGGGACGCGGGCCCCTTCGGGACGCGCGTCGCAGGGAAGTGGCGGGCGGCCCAGCCCGAGGCCAGGTGTGCGTTGAGCGCGTCCAGGGGCGGCGGTGGCGCAGGACAGCGGCGTTAGTTCCCTGTGGGGGGCGAGCGACCAGACGGGCGCGCGTGGAAGCGAACAGCCCGCGGGTGCCGACCGGTCCGTGTGGTCTCTCCGTCCAGCGCGAGCCGGAAGCTGGTGCCCGCTCTGGGGTCGCTGGGCTGCAGGCAGAAGCACAGCCTCCCCGACCTGCCGTACGACTATGGCGCCCTGGAGCCTCACATCAACGCCCAGATCATGCAGCTGCACCACAGCAAGCACCACGCGGCCTACGTGAACAACCTGAACGCCACCGAGGACAAGTACCTCGAGGCGCTGGAGAAGGGTAGGTGCGGGCGGCCCGCCCTGGGCCCTGGGAGGCTGGCTCACGGGAACGGGATGGCCAGGCGCATCTCCGCCGGCGGCGACTCTGTCCAGTAGCTCACCCCACGTGTTCTGGAAATTGACAAGGAAAATATCCACTTGTGACAAACTGAAACAGCCTTGTGTTTATTTACTAACATTTAGAATTCTTTGAAAATATAATGTGGAGTTACTGTTGCTGTGGTTGTTTTTAAGAGCCCGGTTGACAAAACCAGTAACGTGTGAGCTTTTTGTGTTTTGCGTCTGGCGGTGTGTATGGGAAATACTATGTTTTAATGTTTCTAAACAGAAAACGATCACACTTTTCAGCCTATTAGTTTCAGCAGTGGTTTGCAGAGGAAATAATTGACAGTCGTGTTTCCAGACGACAGGTATGGCTTCATGAGCTACAGTTTAAACATGTATTTTTTCTTAAATATTCGTACTGTATTTTTATTGCGTTTCAGCTCTGAAATTGGTGGAGTACATTTTTGACAGGACATCTTGTTGAGTGGGGGCATCTAGTGGGAAAATGTAGTATTTCAGCCTGATTGTGTTATCAGGTAAATGGCTAAGCAAAAACAAGGGGAAGTTGCCACATTTCGGGAATGTTTACTTCTGACAGAGAAACCTCAAGTATGGCAAAATGTTCTGAGTGTGGGAAAAGTTTGGTGATTTAGGACATAACAAATGCGGGAAGGATGTGGTAAAAGTGGGTTGGGGAATATCCCAGTTGTGAAAGTGTTTCCTACATGACAGCACATGACACCCATGGACCTCTCCCCAGTGTTTTAGAAACAGCTTGCTTTCACTCCTTTTCTGGTGCAGTCGAAGCTTTGCTTGTTTAAGGAAAGCCACTGGGAAAAAAAGCTGCACATTATATTCTATATTGCCCGTGAATTAATAAGGACCCACAGAACTTCCTTTTATTTGAAAAGTTACATTTTAAAAATTGTTAAAGAGCTAAATTTTCATATTTGAAATTTGGGATTAAAGGAGTTTAAGTAAAACCACATCATCAATCTCATCACATGTAAGTAACATACTTTTCAAAGAAACATTTAACTTTTATTGTGTTTAACAGAAAAAAAATGAAGCCAAAGAAAATGTTGAACTTCAGAAAAGTATTCTCAAAAGCAGATACTAAGCCCCCCAAATTTCTATTAAAATTTAAGAATGATTAATTGAACTTTATTTATTTTTTTAATCCTCACCCGAGGATATTTTTCCATTTTTTGTACAGATAGAGTGGGAGGGAGAGAGAGGAAGGGAGAGAGAGTGAGAAACATCGACGTGAAGGGACACATCAAGTGGCTGCCACCCGCACGACCAACCAGGGCCGGGGACAAACTGCAACCGAAGTACGTGCCCTTAGCGGGAACCGAACCTGGGTCTCTCCGGACCGCAGTCCGACGCTCTAACCGCTGAGCCAAACTGGCCAGGGCATTAATTGAACTTTAAGAGATCGAAATTACTAAACTAATTTTCAATAAGCATGTTTCTTTCCCATTAGGAAAGTGTAGTTATTGTTGACTTATTGAAACACAATTTAATAAACTTACATTTGTATTTAGGGTTACTTTCCAAGAAAAGTTAGTAAAGGGAGACACTGATCTAGAAGAAAATTATTTTATAAACAACTTATTTTCCAGTTGACATCTTAAAAAAACTCCCCAAATTCAACTATGTATTCAGATATCTTGTGGTTCTCTCCTCTTCTCTGAATTGCTAACCAACTGGAGGTTTGGCCTTGTTTAAGAAAACAAGAGTAGTTCTTACATAGGTTCTTAGTGTGCGCCCTAAGAACAGAAGTAGAGAGCTTTTCTATTATGTAGCTCTGAGCAGTGTTTCTTTGTCCTTCAGTTTGCCTCTTGATATCTTGTGAATCAATGTTATTTAATAAGGGAATTCCCCCTTTTCCCTGAGAGTTTATCTGTAGCTTCTGGAAGGCATAGAAAAAATATTTTATTTTGCCTACTTGTTAAGCAAGGTAGGAAAAAAAAGCTCCAACATGACATCCTTTTTTTTCTTGGTACGTGCCCCTAGTGGGAACCGAACCCGGGAGACTCTGGTCCGCAGGCTGATGCTCCAACCGCTGAGCCAAACCGGCCAGGGCTTAAAGGATATTTTTTAAAATTGATTTTAGAGAAAGAGAAAGGGAGAGGGAGGGGAGGGGGAGAGGGAGAAACATCAATCTGCTGCCTCCTGCATGCACTGTCCAGGGAATGAACCCCAAACCCCTGAGTATGTGTTCTGATCAGGAATCAAACCTGAGACCCTTTGGTGTATGGGATGGTGCTCTAACCAACTGAGCCACAATGGCCAAGGCTATTCCTTTTCTAAAGTACTATAGATATTAGAGAATTTTTTACCCTAGAAACTACATTCAGTATATTCAATTATCTAGTCAATCGACAAACGTTTATTGAGTGCCTGCTACGTAGGAGGCCGTGTACTGGGCCCTGGGATAGAGCAGTGCATGCAAGTCCTTGTCCTCACTGGAGCTGTCATTCTGGTGGGGAGACAGATGATCGAGGAAATATGTAGGGTGGCAAGGGTTGTAAGTCTTCTGGAGAAAAACAGAGTAGGGGAATTGACCATTTTTTACTGTAGTTAGGGAAGGCTTCACTGATGGGGTTGGTGGTTCAGTACAGACTCGAAGGAGAATGAGGGATGACGCGGGAGGCCTCCAGGAAGAAAGTTCCTGCCCAGGAGGCCGTGGAAGCACTCAGCTGGAGCCTGCTGAGCTTCTGAGTGCAAGGAAGCCGGTGTGGCTGGAGCTGGGCCAGCGAGGAGCTGCGGGCCGTCACGTGGCGTGCATTTCTGTAGCTGACTGTCAGGACCCCGGGTGCACTCAGAGGAGCTGCCCCTGGAGAGGGTTGCCTAGAGGAGTGGCAGGATCCATGTGCATGGAGGATAGACTGCGGGGCAGACAGGGAGGCAGATCAGCCCGAGGGCGGCAGGAATGCTGCTGGGAGACGTGCTGCTGGTCTGCACCAGCCGTGGCAAGAAGGGGTTGGATTCTGCGTGCCTTCTAAAGGGAGAGCGGCTTTGCTGGGGGTTAGAGGTGGGGTGGGAGAGGAAAGGAGTCAAAGATGACCAAGTTTTCTCAATGTCCTGAGAAGACCGCTGCCACCTACTGAGATGGGAAGCGCACAGGAGGGGTGAGTTTGGGGTTGAAAATCTGCAGTTGTTTTGAAAGTTGCATTTCTTGTTAATGTAACACTGGGATATTTCCCAGTGAAGAGTTGTCTACCTTGAAGATGAGAGGTGAAGAATTTCCGTATAGTCTGTATACGGAATCATACATTTTAATCACTATTTTCTGTCTTTGTTCTCCATTATTTCATTTGCTGAAATCTTTTCTCGCCAAGGAAACTCTGAGTTCTGTGAGCTCAGGAGTGGATTTTCTGTAGCTTTCCCGGCCTGCTGTCTCACTGTTCAGCATGTTGCTCATCACCTGAAAGTCCACCAGGACAGATAATTTTGGGAAGGTCCTCTGTGTGTGTGTGTGAGACCTCACTGGAGGATATTTTTCCATTGATTTTTAGTGAGAGTGGAAGGGAGAGAGAGACACACACAGAGACAGAGACAGAGAGAAACATTGATGTCAGAGAGACACATCGATTGGTTGCTCCTGCACGACCCTGATGGGCCAGGGATTGAATCCGCAACCCTTTGGTCGGTGGGCCAACTCTAACCGTTGAGCCACACCGGCAAGGGTGGAAGTTCTTCTTTGATACAATCCTGAAATTGTAGAATTTAGGATGCACAGGATGCTATAGACAAGCTAATCCAATTACCTGGCATTTTACAAAGAATAAAATAGTGTCTAGAATGGCTGGAAAAGTAAGAATTTTTGAAAATGTATTTGCATTTTAACATTTCAGGTGACGTTACCACTCAGGTAGCTCTTCAGCCTGCGCTGAAGTTCAACGGTGGAGGCCATATCAATCATACCATTTTCTGGACAAACCTGAGCCCCAACGGTGGTGGAGAACCCAAAGGTTGGTATATATTGGTGCAGGCTTAGCCACATTTTGTGCAAGATAGGAATGATTGCTTTTTATGTTACCCTAATTCTCTCTGAGGTATCATACTGGCATAGTTTTCGTAGCAAGGAGTGCAATCAAGTTGTAATAACTTTCAAAGGGACATACGTGAGAATGGAGAGTGCATTCAGGGAGTGTCGCCAGATTTTATGTACACGTTTATATGCACATTTTATACACGGTGTCGACTTTTGGTTGAAATGCACTGTGCTGTACATTGGGGACAGACAGATACGGGTTTTAGAAAAGACAGGCTTTCTCTTACTAGCTCTGGGACTTGGGGTGAGATACCTAACTGTTCTGGACCTTATTTTCTTCCTCTGTGTGATACGTGGATAATAATAGGGCTTTTTGATGATCAAGTTCTATGTAAAGTGCTTGGAGTAGTGCCTTTTGCTATTATTTTACTATTCTTCCTAAATGATGGGAAGTCAGTTGTCCCAGAAAATTAGGTTTGCAGGACAACTGCAGATGATGAGGGGAGGACAGAGCTGATGGTCTGGGCCGCTCCCTCGCTCACTGGACTTCTCGTGCAGTGTGTGGAGACTTCAATTATCCCCTTCACCTCAGGGGAAGTCTGGGGCACAAGTACAGCTCCCCTCGTTTCTGGCTTCACCTTCAGTTTCTGTGTGTGTGTGTGTGTGTGTGTTAATTGTGTTCTAAAAGACATCTTATGCACTTGAAATAAGCAATTTCATGGGGAAGTAATGATGAATGGGGGAGTAAGTATGGGAAGCTGCACAATTTATTTTTTGTGAGTTAGGTCTTCAGACCACGATTTAATACTATTGAGGTTTTGTGAGTTATCAGAGTATCAGATACACCCCTATTCAATTAGTGGGTGTTGGTATTCTCTACTACTTCGTGTTATCTGTATCATTTTGTTCCATCATTTTGCTTATAACAGATGATTACTTTTAATGGAGAGGTGATATTTTTGGCCTAGTTGATTTGGTTGATGTGCTCAGTCTAGCTGTATTGCTACAGAATGAAAGGTCCATAGCACCTAAAGGGTACCCTTAGTTCAGTGATAGAAGAGAAAAACCCCTCTTTTAAAAATTATGTCACTAAGATAGGAAAGATCTAGCTGCTTTGGAGAAGAACCAGATAACAGCCATAATGTTTTATTCCCAAATTGAGACAGAATAGGTAGGGTAGAAGTCAAAGTAAAATTTTCTACTGCGTGGAAAAAAGGAATGCTAATGGAAAATCTTTCTTTGACGGCAGTAGCTCAGTGAGGGGAGACACGCCTCTGCAAGGCTTCGGTAACAAGTGTGTGAATTGATGGGAAGCCTGGGACACAGGCCGCAGGGCACAGGACACGGTGTTATGGAGACTCACCGGGTTTTGTTGTGTCTCCTGCATGGTGTTGTCTGGTTGTATCTTGGGTCATATGACAAGAATATTTTAATGTAATAAAATATTGTAATTGTTGCCATCTGTTCATTTGTGGGTGATTGGATCTTTTTTTAAATAGGAGAATTGCTGGAAGTCATCAAACGTGACTTTGGTTCCTTCGCCGCATTTAAGGAGAAGCTGACCGCTGTTTCTGCTGGTGTTCAAGGCTCAGGTTGGGGCTGGCTTGGTTTCAATAAGGAACAAGGGCGCTTACAGATTGCTGCGTGTTCTAACCAGGATCCCCTTCAAGGAACAACAGGTTAGATTGGAAAATTGTTACCCATTCATTCACGGGAGATGGTGCACTATAAAGCATTTGATTTGAAATACAAAAAACTAACAGTGTTTAAGCCTGTCATGAATGGATGATACCCAGAGTCTAAGCAAAAGTGCTTTAAAAGTTCTTGATATTTTGAAATCTTAAGTCTTATCAAAATTGCACATGTTATTTTATAGATACGTTAACAAAAATTACTGAACTAAGGGTATACTTTAAACATAAACTGCTTCATTTGACACTTAGTTCATATCAGCCTACATAATTATATACTCTGAAATAAAAAACTAAAGTGAGATAAACAACAAGAACGAGGAAAAGACTTCTGATTTCAAACCTTGGACTCTCACTGTCTGCTGAGCACTGGTGGTCAAAGCGGGAAGGGAGCTCAGATTTCCAGACCGCTGCCTTTCTGGGGGTTTTGGTCGATGACAATATTGGCTTAGAAGGGCCAGGCTGGATTCACCCAGTCCTGTTTTGCATTGAGCCAGATTGAATGAGAAACTCTTTAGGAAAGAGATCCTAAGTCATCCAGCAATTAGCTGGAACTGTGACCTTTGATGTAAAGAAGCCGCAACGACATCTAAACATCCAACAACAGTGGTTCAACAGCCACCTTTTCAACCTGCACACGTTAGAAGACTTGGTCACATGACTCTTCCTTGGACATACTCAGATTTTTCCAGAACGTAAACAGCTCTTTTGGAAAGTGAGATGCCACAGAATTTGTAAAAGCAGCAAAAGATTTGTAAGCACTGTGTGCTGTGGGAGTCAGATAGGCCCCTGAAGGTACCTAGCTGGAGGAAGGCTGTGCTTTCCAGAGAACCCTGGCACACTCCCTGTGTATCTCTTTCGTCGGTCTTACTCAGTTTTTCTTACTGTTCTTTCTTTTAGTGCCTCATAAATGCTTTTATTCTCTAAGACTAACAGTCTTGGGGAGCAGGGTAGGTTTCTCATCACCTCACAAATGACACATCTGACTGAGACGCCCAGTGAGCATGACTGAGAACTGGCTCTTGTATGAATATGTTGCTATTTTAAGAGTAGCTGTTAAAATACTGTAGTTCGTTGATTTTCCCAGGTCTATTTTAATTATTTTTAGTACTGTTCACATTTTCTTTCAAAGAGTAAAGTTTAAAATCTTTGATAGGAGTATTTATTCTTATTACATTTCCTGTTTATATAAGAAACTGAAAAGTGGCTGAGAAAATTGTAAAGGGTAATTGTGGGTGCTTAGGCTAAAGGTTGAACTGAGAAGGTGCAGTGTTGAAATGGAAATTTATCATTTTTGCTTTTTTTCTTCTTTCCAATAGGTCTTATTCCACTGCTGGGGATCGATGTGTGGGAGCATGCCTATTACCTCCAGTATAAAAATGTCAGGCCTGACTACCTAAAAGCAATTTGGAATGTAGTCAACTGGGAGAATGTAACTCAGAGATACTTGGCTTGCAAAAAGTAGGCCGTGAGCATTGCACCCCACGCACAAGCTCTTTGCTGCTGTCCTTGTAGTAGTGCAGGTACCTCGGTCCCCTGTGAGCTGCTCTGTTGGAGCATCTCTGAATGTAGCTTGTTCACATAATTGTTAAACATAATTTAGCGCTATGACTCATTTCTTGTTTTAAAATTTTGTTATTGCGCATCTGTTTGAAAATATTAAATGCTTAGTATGATTTAGTCTTTTGATTGAACATTTTCTTCAAGAGAGGTAAAATACCCAGGAGGCTATAAATGTCGTCATAAAGCCATGAAAGTATCGCACCCCTATACTGTTGGGCCCTCCGGAAGCCTTCTGACCCTGTTCTGCTACATTTGTAGACAACCTAGGTGTTTGCCCCAGTTGCTTAACAATAAAATATTAAAAATTTTCCCAAGGGAAGTATTTAGTTTTCTATTGAAAATTACTTGTTTTGTAAGTAAGTAATCCTATATCTAGCATTAAGTCTGATAGATGTCACCCAGTGGTCTTTAATTATTTATGGCCACGTGTTGCACAAAGTTAACACAGTTTTGTCATTTCAAAAAAATACAGTGTGGTTGCTAATTGAGCATTGCTTTGTTAGGAGAAGGAAATAGTTGTGCATCTGAATATTTCTGTACAGGGAAATATGAAGACTTGTATGTGAAATCTTGTCCTTAGACATAGCAATGTATATTGTGTGAGTGCTCGAAAGGGATGAATTCGGCCAAGCTGATAAAATCGGTGATGGGGATGAGGCCACTGCCCCCTCCTTTCAGACTGTTCTGAGCAGCCCTGGAAGGAGCACCCACCTGCCAGGCGCGGCCTCCCAGAGAGTGGCAACGTGGTTCCTCGGTGCAGCAGCACTGTGCCCCCTCCAGGCACGTTCGTGCCCAAAGACTGGTGTTTGAGTCATTCTGTTCATTTTGATGTATCTTTTCTAGAAAATATAGTCACTATAGAAGCTTTATATTGTTGAGTGTTTTTTTTTGGTACGTGCCCCTAGCGGGAACCGAACCCGGGACTCTCTGGTCCGCAGGCTGATGATCCAGCTGCTGAGCCAGACCGGCCAGGGCTTGTCGAGTGTCTTTAATAAAGGGAAAACTATGCACATAACACAGCAGCGCAGCATATCAGGTTATGTTCCTGTTTATTGCAAAAGGAGCTGTTTTCAGTGGCATGAAGCTGTGGTGTATTTGTGCCCAATATTGTCATGCGTCCCATGTTTCAGCGTCTTTCTCGTTGTCATTTTTAAATATATTTTTATTGGTCTTAGAGAGAGAAACATCAATGTGCAAGAGAAACATCTATCGGTTGCTCCCTCCACCCCCACATGCAGCCTGACCGGTATAAACCTGCAACCAAGGTATGTGCCCTGACCGGAAATCAAACCCAAGACCTTTCAGTGCACGGGACGACACTCCAGCCAACTGAGCCACACTGCCCAGGCCTCGCCTGTTAATGGCTGTAGAATATTTTATCAATTGAACATTTCCTAATTTGTCCTACAGTTCTGTTACTGAATTCATTTGTTTCTAATTGTTTTATTATGAATAATGTCTTGAGCAGCCCAAATAAGTTTTACCTTCATTGGAATATTTTTTCTACAGAGGTTTTTTATTCTTAAACCTATTTAGTAACAAGATGTTTTACCAAGTTTATTTTTTGCCTCCCCCCTTATTTTCCATTTTTTTTTATGGAAAAATGTAACTTAGCAGTTTCAATATTGAAGACTGAAGTTTTAAAAAAAGAATTAAATTCAAGGCACTTTTAGAATTCAATTAGAAAAGCATGTAGACTTTCTGAATTGTCAAGCGTTGATGAGAGGCTGATGATAACTGCGTGCGTGTGTGTGTGTGTGTGTGTGTGTGTGTGTGTGTGGACTGAAAACACGTCAGAGACTATCATTGTCTTTATATAGCACATTAAAATGATTTGCCTGGCGTACCAATGAATCATGTGATTACTGCCTACATATATAATCTGTGTGCCTGTATACCTACACCTAAGGCAGCAAACTGAACAGACCATGTAGAAAGTCGGACCTTTGTGAAGGATGAGCTTTTGAATGTAGGTGTTCTGCTAGGTCATGGAATGTATTAAACTAACAAAGAAATGCAGACTACTGATTTATATAAAGCATTTTGACTCTTATTAAGTCTTAATATTTCAAAAACATTTAGTGTTAAATTTCTATGGGACTCCGTTTTTGCTTTGGCTTTATGTTGAGGGACAGCACACCTGTCTGAGGTTTTGCTTTTTCCTTTCTAGACTTTAAGAGACTACGATAATTTACAGATTAAGATTCCAATCATCCAGTGGAAAATGAGACCGAGATTCTCTTTTCTGTTTTCTTTAATTCTTACCTGAGGATATTTTTTATTTATCTTCAGATCGGAAGAGGGGGGTGAGAGAGAGAGAGAAAAATATCAATGTGAGAGGGACACATCGACTGGTTGCCTCCCACCCGACCCCGACCAGGGCTGGGGATGAACCACCACCGAGGTACGTGCCCTTGACCAAACTCGAACCCAGGACTCATTGGTCCACGGGCCGATGCAGGAAAGGGGAGGTAGCGGTCTGTGGAAAGAGCAAGCGTCTGTGCAGGGAGGGCCTTGTGACGGAGGGTCAGCAGTGCCCGCTGCAGTCTGGGTGCGTGTCACGACCTGAGCGCGACTCGTGCCGCCGGAGACAGGACGCAGACGAGCACTGTCCGAAATGCCACCGTGGCTTGAACCGTTGTGTAATAACCAAACTTTGCTGTTAAGAAATCACAGCTTTATCCAACACCTCAAATTCAGGATCTGAAGATGAGATTTGAATTTCTGTTGAGTACCTTTAAAAATCAAAATCATAAAAGTAAGGTTGATAGGCATTGTGAGTCCTATCTCAAGCTAGGTATAAATACATATTTTATTTCCTGTTTTAATTTTCGGAACTACTGTTTGGGAAGGCTGTTAGATAACTTTTATAAATTACTGTCTCATTTTCAGTCACCCCTAATGATCCAGCAAGCTAATGTTTGTCTTCTAAGGTACGCATAGTACATGTTTAAAGTCCTATAAGGTCCTGAATAGTTTTCACTTAATTATTCTTAGTACAACGTTTATTTTCCTATTGTAAGTGTGAAGTTTTCTGATTGTTAATAAAAGAGTCTGTCAACTATCCAAAGAAATGTGTTATGCTTGTGTCAAAACAATAATAAGCCTACAATGCTTCATTTTTACTGTGGCGAAGGAGTACTAAGTGCTAGGTAGTTGGAAATTTACCCTTAAAACCCAGAAGGCATTTGAACTCTTATCTCCATTCCCATCTGCAGTAACACCATCTGAAAATGTAGTAGCCCTTACCAAGTTATAAAGTTTATCTACCAAGTTATAATGTTGTCATAACATCTTAGAACGTTAAGCAAACATCGAATATTGCCTAAACTCTCCAAAGAAGTTGTCAGACATATCACAAAACGCCTTTTACATAAAGTTCTGGACTTCATGTAAAAAGTGGTATTTTTTTTTAAAGTATTTTTTCTTCATTGATATTAGAAGGAGAGGAAGGGAGAAACATCGATGAGAGAGAACATCGATTGGCCGCCTCCTGCGTGCCCCCCACAGAGGATCCGGCCCACAACCTGGGCATGTGCCCTGGTCAGGAACCGAACCGGTGACCTCTTGGTGCAGGGATCAACACTGAACCACTGAGCCACACCAGCTGGGTATCACTGTTTTCAGTTACGGTGAACACCAGCTGCCACACTGAGAACCCTATGTAAATAACCCCTGGGCGAATCAAGTCCAGTAGGAGGTACTTCCTCTTGTATAAGCTGCAAGTGCTCCGCTTGCCCCCGGGAGACGGCTTTCCGTCTTCGCTTCGGATCCCAATTTTCTCACCGCCACTAAGCCAGTGTCATTGTTTTCTGAAGGGGCAGTACCCACTCCAAGGTCCTAATTTGCTGCTTTGATAATATATCCCAAATATATAGTAGCTCAAATACAATAGATCTTTTTCATGCATGTAGAAATGAACACTGCAACAGTTGTTTGTGGTTAGCAGGGGCCTTGCTCCACGCAGTGAGGTCTCTTGTCATCTTCAGTAAGCGGAGAGCGCAAAGGAGCATGAAGATCTTGAGTAGGCCCTGGCCGGTTTGGCTCAGCGGTTACAGCGTCGGCCTGCAGACCAGAGAGTCCCGGGTTCGGTTTCCACTAAGGGAACGTACCTCGGTTGCAGTTTGTCCCGGGTCTGGTTGGGGTGTGGGGTTGTGTGGGTGGCAACCATTTCATGTGTCTTTCTCACATTGATGTTTCTCTCCCTCTCTTACTTCTTCTTTCCCTCCTACTCTATCTGACGATAAATACAAATATAAATAAATAAATAAATACATACATACATAAATAAATAAATAAACAAAACAAACTTGAATAGGACATTTCTGGACCAGAGGTGCATAGACTCCTGCTCGCGTTTCCTTGGCTACAACAATGCACCTGCCTGCAAGGAAGGCTGGGAAATGTAGTTTAGCTCTCCTCCTGGGCCGGGAAGAAGGTTTTGTGAACAGCCCCTCAGTCCATATACTGCTTTTGCACTTTGAGTGATATATCTGACCCCTGTGCCTCAGTCTCCTCAGCTGGTGACAATGGGCCTTAAGTGTGAGGTGCTTAAAACGGAGTCTGCGAAGTGCGCACCGTGCAGCGCAGCTACGGTGCAGTTGCTGAAGGCGTCCCCTCGTTTATCTTGCTGGTGCAGCCACCCTGCAGGGCGCGCAGGGAGAACACGTCGCAGGGACAGATTCGTCCGGCACCGGCACCGGCGGGCTCGCGCGGCCCGATCTGGGCTCCTCTGCCTGCTTTGGTGTTCTTTCCCCAGCCATGAGTGATCTTCTGGAAGAATGTTTATCTGTGCCGTGTAAGTGGGGGGACTTCTTCCTTTAGGAGAAAGCTGAAATTCCCTGATTTAACAAATTAACTCCACTGATGTTCTACTTTACTTCTCTGTATACACACATATATATTTTTATCCTCACCCGAGGACATTTTTCCATTTTTTGTTCAGATAGAGTGTGAGGGAGAGAGAGAGAGAGAAACATCGACGGGAAAGGGACACATCGAGTGGCTGCCACCTGCACAACAAACCAGGGCCGGGGACAAACTGCAACCGAGGTACATGCCCTTAGTGGGAACTGAACCCGGGTCTCTCTGGACCGCAGGCCGACGCTGCAACCGCTGAGCCAAACCGGCCAGGGCTCTGTATACATATTTTAAATGTGTCACTTCCTCCCTAGTACAAAAGTATACAATTGTTTATGGATCTAATTTTTTTAAAATGCTTATTTTTATTTGGTTAAGCCTTTCTGTGGGAACAAGCTCACGAGCCCTGCCTCGCAGAGAGAGCAGGGACGGCGGGCAGCTTTATTTCGGGGTTTTTTTTTTTTTTTTTTTTAATCCTCACCCGAGGACATTTTTCCATTTTTTTTTTGTTCAGGTAGAGTGGGAGGGAGAGAGAGGAACAGAAAGAGAGAAACATCGATGTGAAGGCACACATCGAGTGGTCGCCACCCGCACAACCGACCAGGGCCGGGGACAAACTACAACCGAGGTACGTGCCCTTAGCGGGAACCGAACCCGGGTCTCTCAGGACCGCAGGCCGACGCTCTAACCGCTGAGCCAAACCGGCCAGGGCTCGGGGTTTGTTTTTTACACGTAGCCACCAAATAATTAAGGAGAAAGATTCCTTACGGGGGCCTTGTAAGCAAATTGTTTGGAAGTGAGAATTTGCAGGCAAAGTGGGATATTAGGGGGCATGTTCTCGCCTCTGCACAGTGTGGACTCGGGTCCCTTTCCTCACTCTGGCCTCCCCCCCTCCCCCCACAGAGTGACCCCCTTCTCGGGGCCTGTCTCCGTCAGCCGGGCCCTTCTCCTTCATGCATCAGCTTAGAGCTTCGGAAGGCCTCTTGCATCGCGCAGGCCCTTCTGAGAC